GTGGGGGAGACTGATGCAGGAAGAAGGGGTGCTGAGAGAAGGTGAGATGGAGGGACAGCGAGAGACAAGGGGTGCCAAGTATGCAGGGCTGTAGAAAGGCAGCAAAGTGCCAGAGATATTGGGGGCTTAAGAGGTCTGAGGTATTGAGACCCAGGAAAAAGGGCTCAGAGAACGAGAAAGAGAGAGGGCACAGGAAAGTCCCTGAGGACAGGGAAGCTGGAGGGGGAGCAAAGATCCCTGCCCACCATTCAATCCCCCAACCTCTATGAGGCCCCTGGCCAACTTTCCCTGTCCTAGATTTGGGGTCCACATTCCCACCCCCATCCCTGCATCCCTTCCCCAGCCTTACCTTTTCATGACCCTGTTCTGTTGGGGGGATTTCAGGTGGGCCAGGACTGGAACCTGGTGTCCAGTGACCCCAAGATTCCGTGGAGGGCTCAGGGAGCCGATCCGGGGGTCAGGCCCCAGGGCAGCAGCAGTGGCAGAGGCGGTGGTGGTGTGGCAGGGAGCTCCTGCCTGTCTCTGGCTCTGTCTCTCCTTCCTCTTCCTTGGTCCTGTCCTGCCCTGTCTGTCCCCCAAGGTTGCGGCCACCTGGACTAGGCGAGGACACGGCTACACATGTTGCACTGGAAGTTGGGCCCCACACATTGCAGAGGCTGTTGGGGTGTCCTCTTACCACCCTGACCCCGCGGGGATCCCCCTCCGCCCACCTGGGGTGCCCCCCTCTGCTGCTTCAGCCCCAGCTCCTCCCCCCTTTCCATGTGTCCAGTCCTGCCTCTGCCTTGATCATTCCCATTCCCCCCTTCGTGCCCTCAGCACCCCCCCCTCAGCGTCTGTCTCTGTCTATCTGTCTGTCTGGGTCACCTCTGAAGCTGGTGGCGTGTGTGTGTGTTTGTGTGAGTAGCGGGAAATCGCCTGTCTGAGGAACTGCATGCCCCTTCCTCGCTTGGCCACCTTTAGATACCCCCCCCGCACCCCCACTCTCTAACACAGGCAGAAACACACACGCACTAACACACACGCACACACGGACAGCTTTACTTCCCTGGGATTCCCCCTCAACACCCCCAGAGCTTGAGGAGGAAAACACACACACACACACACACA